GGTCTAACAATGGAATGTTCGCCCCTCACACAGAAATGATCGGTCTAACAATGGAATGTTCGCCCCTCACACAGAAATGATCGGTCTAACAAAATGGAATGTTTCGCCCCTCACACAGAAATGATCGGTCTAACAACGGAATGTTCGGTGTAACACTGAGAGACAGAATACAACAACAAATTCAGCAGAAATGCGTCTAACAAATGATGACTGATCTGCATGTTCATGAGGGAAAGAAGGATTTGATCCCCTTCACAAAACATGACTTAGTACTTGGTGGCCAATCCCTTGTTGGCAATCACAGAGGTCAGACGTTTCCTGGAGTTGGCCCCCAGGTTCGCACACATCTCAGGAGGGATTTTGGCCCACTCCTCTTGGCAGATCCTCTCCAAGTCATTAAGGTTTGGTGGCTGACGTTTGGCAACTCGAACTTTCAGCTCCTCCACAGATTTTCCATCGGATGAAGGTCTGGAGACTGGCTAGGCCACTCCGGGACCTTAATGTGCTTCTTCTTGAGCCGCTCCTTTGTTGCCTTGGCCGTGTGTTTTGGGTCATTGTCATGCTGGAACACCCATCCACCACCCATTTTCAATGCCCTGGCTGAGGGAAGAAGGTTCTCACCCAAGATTTGAGGGTACATTGCCCCGTCCATCGTCCCTTTGATGTGGTGCAGTTGTCCTGTCCCCTTAGCAGAAAAACACCCCCAAAGCAGAATGTTTCCCCCACCATGTTTCACAGTTGTGATGGTGTTCTTGGGGTCATAGGCAGCATTCCTCCTCCAAACACGGCGAGTTGAGTTGATGCCAAAGAGCTGGATTTTGGTCTCCTCTGACCACAACACTTCCCACCAGTCCTCCTCTGCATCATTCAGATGTTCAGTGGCAGACTTCAGACGGGCCTGGACATGGGCTTTCTTGAGCAGAGGGACCGTGCGGGCACTGCAGGATTTCAGTCCTTGTCGGCGTAGTGTGTTACCAATTGTTTTCTTGGTGACTGTGGTCCCAGCTGCCTGGAGATCATTGACAAGATCCTCACGTGTAGTTCTGGGATGATTCCTCACTGTTCTCATGATCATTGACACTCCACGAGGTGAGATCTTGCATGGTGCACCAGACCTAGGGAGACTGACACTTGTTTTGTGTTTTCTCCATTTGTGAATGATTGCACCAACTGTTGTCACCTTCTCACCAAGCTGCTTGGCCATAGTTTGGTAGCCCAGTCCAGCCTTGTGTAGGTCTACCATCTTGTCCCTGACATCCTTGGACAGCTCTTTGGTCTTTGCCATGGTGGAGAGTTTGGAATCTGATGGTTTGATGGCTGCTGTGGACAGGTGTCTTTTATACAGGTAACACAATGAGATTAGCAGCACTCCCTTTAAGAGACTGCTTCTAATCTCAGCTTGTTACCCTGTATGAGAGACACCTGGGAGCCAGAAATCCTGCTGAATGATAGGGGATCAAATCCTTCTTTCCCTCATGAACATGCAGATCCGTCATCATTTGTTAGACGCATTTCTGCTGAATTTGTTGTTGTTGTATTCTGTCTCTCAGTGTTACACCGAACATTCCATTGTTAGACCGATCGTTTTCTGTGTGAGGGGCGAACATTCCATTGTTAGACCGATCGTTTCTGTGTGAGGGGCGAACATTCCCATTGTTAGACCGATCATTTCTGTGTGAGGGGCGAACATTCCATTGTTAGACCGATCGTTTCTGTGTGAGGGGCGAACATTCCATTGTTAGACCGATCGTTTCTGTGTGAGGGGCGAACATTCCATTGTTAGACCGATCGTCTCTGTGTGAGGGGCGAACATTCCATTGTTTCTTCTGTGTGAGGGGCGAACATTCCATTGTTAGACCGATCGTTTCTGTGTGAGGGGCGAACATTCATTGTTAGACCCATTGTTTCTGTGTGAGAACATTCCATTGAGACCGATCGTTTCTGTGTGAGGGGGGAACATTCCATTGTTAGACCGATCGTTTTCTGTGTGAGGGGCGAACATTCCATTGTTAGACCGATCGTTTCTGTGTGAGGGGCGAACATTCCATTGTTAGACCGATCGTTTCTGTGTGAGGGGCGAACATTCCACCATCGGGGGGGGGCAAATACGCATTTCCTTCACTGTGTAGGGGCGAATATATATATTGTTAGACCATATCTGAGATTCCCATCACATAATACGATTTCTAGAATGATCTGACGGGCAATGTATGGGATCTGAGATCCTCACATACGATTCTAGAATGATACAATGTATGGGATGTATCCGCTCACAGGAGACGGGATTGTACAATGTATCTCTTTATTTCAATGTTAATGTATAATCTGCTCTCCGGGTCCCCAGGATCCCTGCATTGTTCCCATGGTGACGGTGATCGCTGTCCTGGACGCGGTGGAAGATTTTGGCGAGGTCGGTTGGGTCATCGCTTCGTATGACACCGATCACACCCTACACCGACTTACAGACAAGCAGACGTATAGAATCAAATATATATATATACCAGGATATACCGAGGGGTCATGCTGGGAATTGTAGTTCATCAGCTGCTCTAGGTGTGCAGGATGGGGGGGGACATTGTTTTATAGGGGGGTCTGTTTATAGATCCCAGGAATACAGAGATGAGAGGGGGATGAGAGAATAGGGGGAGGGGATGAGCGAATAGGGGGAGGGGCTCTGGGAAAGCACACAGACGCAGCATCCTGGGCCCAGGCAGCGACATCGCAGTGAGTGACAACCTGTCCTATTCATTCATTATTATTATCCCGCCATACGTGACACCGAGCAACCCGCCTCCTGTGTGCCCGAGCAACCTGCCTCCTGTGTGACCGAGCAACCTGCCTCCTGTGTGACCGAGCAACCTGCCCTCCTGTGTGACCGAGCAACCTGCCTCCTGTGTGACCGAGCAACTGCCTGTGTGACCGAGCAACCTGCCTCCTGTGTGACCGAGCAACCCGCCTCCTGTGTGACCGAGCAACCCGCCTCCTGTGTGACCGAGCAACCTGCCTCCTGTGTGACCGAGCAACCTGCCTCCTGTGTGACCGAGCAACCTGCCTCCTGTGTGACCGAGCAACCTGCCTCCTTTGTGACCGAGCAACCTGCCTCCTGTGTGACCGAGCAACCTGCCTCCTGTGTGACCTGTGATTACTGTCCTTTGTGTGTATATATATCATTCTGTGTATTTACATGACTTCAGAATCTAATGATGCAGTTTATATACAGCCATATACATCATCTCTGTACAGAGGAGCTTACGCTCTAACGTCCCCTCCCCCACAGTCACATCAGTCTCTGTACCAGAGGAGCTTACGCTCTAATGTCCCCTCCCCCACAGTCCCATCAGTCTCTGTACCAGAGGAGCTTACGCTCTAACGTCCCTCCCCCCACAGTCCCATCAGTCCTGTACCACACGTCTAACGTCATCAGTCTCTGTACCAGAGGAGCTTACGCTCTAACGTCCCCTCCCCCGCAGTCCCATCAGTCTCTGTACCAGAGGAGCTTACGCTCTAACGTCCCCTCCCCCACAGTCCATCAGTCTCTGTACCAGAGGAGCTTATCAACGTCCCCTCCCCCACAGTCCCATCAGTCTCTGTACCAGAGGAGCTTACGCTCTAATGTCCCTCCCCCACAGTCACATCAGCCTCTGCTCGCTAACGTCCCCTCCCCCACAGTCCCATCAGTCTCTGTACCAGAGGAGCTTACGCTCTAATGTCCCCTCCCCCACAGTCCCATCAGTCTCTGTACCAGAGGAGCTTACGCTCTAATGTCTCCTCCCCCTCAGTCCCATCAGCCTCTGTACCAGAGGAGCTTACACTCTAATGTCCCCTCCCCCACAGTTACATCAGTCTCTATACAGAGGAGCTTACACTCTAATGTCTCCTCCCCCACAGTCACATCAGTCTCAGTACCAGAGGAGCTTACACTCTAATGTCCCCTCCCCCACAGTCCCATCAGTCTCTGTACCAGAGGAGCTTACCCTCTAATGTCCCCTCCCCCACAGTCCCATCAGTCTCTGTACCAGAGGAGCTTACACTCTAATGTCTCCTCCCCCACAGTCCCATCAGTCTCTGTACCAGAGGAGCTTACCCTCTAATGTCCCCTCCCCCACAGTCACATCAGTCTCAGTACCAGAGGAGCTTACACTCTAATGTCCCCTCCCCCACAGTCCCATCAGTCTCTGTACCAGAGGAGCTTACCCTCTAATGTCCCCTCCCCCACAGTCCCATCAGTCTCTGTACCAGAGGAGCTTACACTCTAATGTCCCCTCCCCCGCAGTCACACACTAATATTATAAAAAAGGCACCCCTCACCTATAAATGAAAGGATTTTCTGTATGTTCCGCAGTAGCCGAGGTCCTCCACATCTGTGCCCAGCTTCTCATGGCATTTGGGTGACAATGGTTGCCCATCAGCTCCCTAAAGGGCCACAGCTGACCGTCAGAAATCATCCACCATGGACTTCAATTCACTGCATTGTTCAACATTTGGCAGATTTTGATGAATTTGTTGACGTTGAAGTGAATGACATTTTGGGAGATTTGCTCACTGTTGGTTTCTTTCCCACGCTCCGAAGCAGGAAACACGAGGGTGGACAATATCTAGAATACACGGGAACCTGGAATGCCACGCCCCTTCTGACTATATTTACGATGGTCTCTCTTTCTCGTTTCAGAATGTCCTGACACCTTTAATAAAAACCTTAGAAGAAAATAAAAAATCAAAGCTCGGTTATTCGTCTGGTAAAAACGGGACCAAGAAAGGTCATCAACGGTTGGATGTGGCAAAGTCCAAAAATGAGACATCAGAGGATTTGCTGAATTGTTCCTTCAGCCAACATCATTCACAGTGTAAGTCGTGGGAGGACTGTCCCCGGCCACATACACGATTGTTGGGTCTCACTGCTCTAATGACACCAATCTTCTCCACACGTACTGACTGACTCTACAGATCTCAATCCTGTCCAAAACCAGTCCAGAGTAGGTGACCATTGGGACCTCCAGACCATGGATAGTAGAATCGCCAAAGAGGAGAACTCCGACAATTCCCGTATCACCCCAGAGATGTTGAAGTCTCGGACTGGCGAGTTTGACCTGGAGTCGATCCTTTTCCTGAAGCTGCGCTCTCTGGGGATCCATGAGTTGGGTTGTATTGGAGAATGCCTAAACCTGGAACGGTTGGATCTCTCAAACAACCACATCACCCACCTGGCTCCACTGTCCTCACTGAAGATGCTGGTGGCCCTTAACTTGGCACGTAACAGGGTTTCTTCTCTGGAGCCCCTGGCCTCCTGTGACAACCTGCAAACCCTCAACATGGCGGGGAACCTGCTGTGCAGCGTCGACAGTTTGCAGTGCTTAAAAGGCCTTCGTAAGCTAGAAAGCATCCGCTTGAAGGACCCCATCTATAACCTGAGCAACCCGTTTTGTTGCAATGGGTCCTACAGACATGCTGTGCTGGATACCATCCCTAGTGTTCGAGTGATCGATGGTGAGAGGGTCACAGGCAGTGGTAGTGACCTTTACCATCTGTGCAGGGACATTGATAACTCCTTGAAGAGGTTCACCTCCAGCAATGCCATGGTGGAGATGCCAGGCTCTGTCAAGCCATGGGTGGAGGACGGCTTCTGGGACGCGAGGCCTTCTCAGAGCACCATTATCGAAGAGACCTACAAGCAATTTAATGACATTCTGCAGGAGTGTAAAGAACTGAGCAAGAGGGCCGATGATGCCATCGCACAGGCCGAAAGAGCGCTCAGCATCAGAAGTGACACCAACTCTTATGTCTTCTAATGGCCCGGCTTCCCTTTCCATAGCCCTGACCTTCAGCTTCTCCATAGCTAACCGTTCCTCCAGTTTAATCCACTAAAAACACTGTCAGCCCTGAGTCTCCTGTCCTCCTCACCTCATTTCTATTAAATTTCTGCTCAAATATCGGATCCTATACCTACAGTGATGTCCCCTCATCATCCCTGATCTATTGTTCACCAGATTCTTCAGTTGTCACTCATGGCGATGGTTCTCCTCCAGTTCTCCTATACCTGTGGTCTCCAAACTGTGGCCTGGGGACCAATTGTTGCCCTTTGCTTGCCTTTATCTGGCCTTGAGGCAGTTTTCCACCAATTGATACCAATGATGGGACACCATTCCCCCAACTGACACCCATGATGGGACACCATTCCCCCCAACTGACACCCATGATGGGACACCATTCCCCCAACTGACACCCATGATGGGACACCATTCCCCCAACTGACACCAACGATGGGACACCATACCCCAAGTGGCACCACAAACTGACACCATGATGGGACACCATTCCCCCAACTGACACCCATGATGGTACACCATTCCCCCAACTGACACCCATGATGGTACACCATTCCCCCAACTGACACCCATGATGGGACACCATTCCCCCAACTGACACCCATGATGGGACACCATTCCCCCAACTGACACCCATGATGGGACACCATTCCCCCAACTGACACCCATGATGGTACACCATTCCCCCAACTGACACCCATGATGGGACACCATTCCCCCAACTGACACCCATGATGGGACACCATTTCCCCCAACTGACACCCATGATGGGACACCATTCCCCCAACTGACACCCATGATGGTACACCATTCCCCCCCCCAACTGACACCAATGATGGGACACCATTCCCCCAACTGACACCCATGATGGTACACCATTCCCCCAACTGACACCCATGATGGGACACCATTCCCCCAACTGACACCCATGATGGTACACCATTCCCCCAACTGACACCCATGATGGGACACCATTCCCCCCAACTGACACCCATGATGGGACACCATTCCCCCAACTGACACCCATGATGGGACACCATTCCCCCAACTGACACCCATGATGGTACACCATTCCCCCAACTGACACCCATGATGGGACACCATTCCCCCAACTGACACCCATGATGGTACACCATTCCACCAACTGACACCAATGATGGGACACCATTCCCCCAACTGACACCCATGATGGGACACCATTCCCCCAACTGACACCCATGATGGGACACCATTCCCCCAACTGACACCCATGATGGGACACCATTCCCCCAACTGACACCCATGATGGGACACCATTCCCCCAACTGACACCCATGATGGGACACCATTCCCCCAACTGACACCCATGATGGGACACTATTCCCCCAATTGACACCATAAATGGGTTACTATTCTTCCCATTGCTACCAACAATGGGGCACTATTTCTCCCGGGGCATTTTCTACTCCCACTGGCCACAGTCTGGTCCCCCTAAAGCCTGAAGGACAGCAAACTGGCCCTTTGCTTAGAAGCTTTGGGGACCGCTGTCCTATACAACCATCCACCTTTCCTTTAGATTTTGTACCTTGCCGAACTCTATCAGAAGCCTCCTTTCTCAGTGTTTCCTCTGTGACTTCTCACCTTCAGCTTATGTCTTGTATTCTGGACTGCACATCCCCGATTTATTGTTCTCCTTACCAGGGGCGGACTGACAACTCATGGGGCCCCCCGGGCAATAGGGGATCATGGGGCCCCAGTGTCCTTGCCCAAACTCAAAAAAGCCTATGAAAAAGGTACCAGGGGCATCTCATGGGGCCCCCTACTGGCCCTCAGGCAGTGCCCGAGTTTCCAAATGGTCAGTCCGCCCCTGCTCCTTACCATTGTCTTACTGGATGGACCTTCCCTGAGCTCCTGTCCTTTCTAGACCCCTCAAATATCAGGCACTTCTGTTGTGTAACCTGAGAATTATCAGGGTTATGTTTTCATGGAGTCGTATGCATAATATTTCAGGAGCTCCGGCTGCCACAACCAGCCACAGATGTTCTCCAGCAACTAGCCACAGGCAGAGCCAGGACAAGGTGGTCCAGCGCCCAGGACAAGGTGGTCCAGCGCCCAGGGCAAGGTGATCCAGCGCCCAGGGCAAGGTGATCCAGCGCCCAGGGCAAGGATGCCGAATGGCTTCTGAATACAGGAGCTCTGCAGTGGCAGGAAGGAGGTGGGGAAGAGAGGACGCAGCCTGTATCTCCTCCCGGGTCTCTCTTCTTCTCCTCATCGCTCCTAGCACTGGGCTAACAGGAGTAGTCTCACTTCTCCTGTCATCTTTGTAACAGAAGGAAGGAGCCCTCGTCCTCACGGTAAACCATTGCACCCAGGGCAGCCACCCCTCCTGCCCACCCCTTGTCCTGGTCCTGGCCACAGGTGTCCACTAGCAAAGACGTTTCATCCAGTTCATCCAGTACGCTGCAGGGTCAACGTTCGTCCAGATTTATCGACAAAAGCTCCTGATGATCCCCACCAGACTCTCTCCATCGACGTATGTAATCCAAGATGGGGGCTTAGTCATAGAAGCGAAATGCATAAGAGGAGAAGCCGGGTCTGGAGCCGGGTCTGGAGCCGTGTCTGGAGCCGGGTCTGGAGCCATGCCTGGAGCCGGGTCTGGTCGGGATTACTGCTGGGTTTTCTCATTAAATCTGGAGCAATGCTGACCCGTGTGTGAGGGTTGTTTTTTAGGAGCACAAATGCAATAACTATCGTATTTTTCACTCCTTAAGATGCACTTACCCCCCCCCCAAAATAAAATGGGGGGAAACGTCTGTGAGACTTATGGAGCGGCCGGCCCGGTATTCCGCCACTGTGTTAGAATACCGGGCCGGCCGCTCAGCTCTTCTGTGCAGTAGAACCTGCTCCTTTGTCCTACCTGCTCCTTTGTCCTACCTGCTCCTTTGTCCTACCTGCACCTTTGTCCTACCTGCACCTTTGTCCTACCTGCTCCTTTGTCCTACCTGCACCTTTGTCCTACCTGCTCCTCGGTCCTACCTGCTCCTCGGTCCTACCTGCTCCTCGGTCCTACCTGCTCCTTTGTTCTACCTGCTCCTCGGTCCTACCTGCTCCTTTGTTCTACCTGCTCCTTTGTCGTACCTGCTCCTCGGTCCTACCTGTTCCTTTGTCCTACCTGCTCCTCAGTCCTACCTGCTCCTTGGTCCTACCTGCTCCTTGGTCCTACCTGCTCCTTTGTCCTACCTGCTCCTCAGTCCTACCTGCTCCTCGGTCCTGCCTGCTCCTTGGTCCTACCTGCTCCTCAGTCCTACCTGCTCCTTTGTTCTACCTGCTCCTCGGTCCTACCTGCTCCTCGGTCCTACCTGCTCCTTTGTTCTACCTGCTCCTTGGTCCTACCTGCTCCTCGGTCCTACCTGCTCCTAGGTCCTACCTGTTCCTTTGTCCTACCTGTTCCTCAGACCTACCTGTTCCTTTGTCCAGCAGTGTCCTCACCATCTTCTCTCCCCAGCGCCGGCATCTTTAGTGTGTGTGCCCGGCTGTAACAGCTTGAGGCTTCACAGCCGGCTGCCCGCTGCGCATGCGCGAGAAGCGCTGCACTTTGTGAATGGTCCGAAAGTCTCCTGGGACCTGTCATGTGTCCCAGAAGATGAGGAGGGAGGACAACTCCGCGGAAGTGGGAGCGATTACCTGTCAAATTTGGGTACCCGCTCCCTCCCTCCATTCTGCTCCCCCCAAAGGTCTGCAGTCTCTGGTCATCCCCTGTACTGTGTCCGCAGTCTCTGGTCATCTCCTGTACTATGTCTGCAGTCTCTGGTCATCTCCTGTACTATGTCCGCAGTCTCTGGTCATCTCCTGTACTGTCCGCAGTCTCTGGTCATCTCCTGTACTGTGTCCGCAGTCTCTGGTCATCTCCTGTACTATGTCCGCAGTCTCCGGTCATCTCCTGTACTATGTCCGCAGTCTCTGGTCATCTCCTGTACTGTCCGCAGTCTCTGGTCATCTCCTGTACTGTGTCCGCAGTCTCTGGTCATCTCCTGTACTATGTCTGCAGTCTCTGGTCATCTCCTGTACTATGTCCGCAGTCTCTGGTCATCTCCTGTACTGTCCGCAGTCTCTGGTCATCCCCTGTACTGTGTCCGCAGTCTCTGGTCATCCCCTGTACTGTGTCCGCAGTCTCTGGTCATCCCCTGTACTGTGTCCGCAGTCTCTGGTCATCCCCTGTACTGTGTCCGCAGTCTCTGGTCATCCCCTGTACTGTGTCCGCAGTCTCTGGTCATCCCCTGTACTATGTCCGCAGTCTCTGGTCATCTCCTGTACTGTGTCCGCAGTCTCTGGTCATCTCCTGTACTGTGTCTGCAGTCTCTGGTCATCTCCTGTACTGTGTCTGCAGTCTCTGGTCATCTCCTGTACTGTGTCCGCAGTCTCTGGTCATCTCCTGTACGATTTATGTAGTTTCTGGTCATCTCCTGTACTATGTCCGCAGTCTCTGGTCATCTCCTGTACTATGTCCGCAGTCTCTGGTCATCTCCTGTACTGTGTCCGCAGTCTCTGGTCATCTCCTGTACTGTGTCCGCAGTCTCTGGTCATCTCCTGTACTATGTCCGCAGTCTCTGGTCATCTCCTGTACTATGTCCGCAGTCTCTGGTCATCTCCTGTACTGTGTCCGCAGTCTCTGGTCATCTCCTGTACCGTGTCCGCAGTCTCTGGTCATGTCCTGTACCGTGTCCGCAGTCTCTGGTCATCTCCTGTACCGTGTCCGCAGTCTCTGGTCATCTCCTGTGCCTTGTCCGCAGTCTCTGGTCATCTCCTGTGCCGTGTCCGCAGTCTCTGGTCATCTCCTGTACTGTGTCCGCAGTCTCAGGTCATCTCCTGTACTGTGTCTGCAGTCTCTGGTCATCTCCTGTACTGTGTCTGCAGTCTCTGGTCATCTCCTGTACTGTGTCTGCAGTCTCTGGTCATCTCCTGTACTGTGTCCGCAGTCTCTGGTCATCTCCTGTACTGTGTCTGCAGTCTCTGGTCATCTCCTGTACTGTGTCTGCAGTCTCTGGTCATCTCCTGTACTGTGTCTGCAGTCTCTGGTCATCTCCTGTACTGTGTCTGCAGTCTCTGGTCATCTCCTGTACTGTGTCTGCAGTCTCTGGTCATCTCCTGTACTGTGTCTGCAGTCTCTGGTCATCTCCTGTACTGTGTCCGCAGTCTCTGGTCATCCCCTGTACTGTGTCTGCAGTCTCTGGTCATCCCCTGTACTATGTCCGCAGTCTCTGGTCATCCCCTGTACTGTGTCCGCAGTCTCTGGTCATCCCCTGTACTGTGTCCGCAGTCTCTGGTCATCTCCTGTACTATGTCTGCAGTCCATTGGTTAAAAATTTTTGTTTTCTTGTTTTCCTCCTCTAAAACCTAGGTGCATCTTTATGGAACGAAAAATACGGAATGTGAAGTAACTCCTAGCGAGCAAAAGGGAATTAAGTAGAATAAGATCTGATTGGTTGTTGTGGGTTCCTTCAAGGTCCATTGTGCTGACAAGTCAACAAATATGTGAGAAAACCATATCTGGCCTTCCACTTGTCTGATGTTCATTCCTCTGAATATGGATCTGCTTGTCTACAATGATTCCTGTATGGCTATAATAAAACCCTCCTCTGGGGTGTAGTGACGTGTTCCTTGACCTACACGGACATAATGAGGTGGACATTGGGAGTTTGGGTGCCGACAGACATCTGTCATGTGACTGTGTTGTATTGCATTTATTATCAGCTGAACGCAGGTGACTGCAGTTGTTTTCGGGTGAGGTCTAAAATAAATGAAGATCGCTTATCTCACACACAAATCCATCTTCTTTAGTGCTCTTTGAGGCTTTCACACGAACGTTCCAACCAGGTCCTCCTGCCCGTTTTTCAGGTAAACCCGATCAGAATCTTCAGTTCTCTTTGAGGCTGTCACACGGACGTTCCGACCAGGTCCTCCTGCCTGTTTTTCAGGTTGACCCGATCGGAACCTTCAGTGCTCTTTTGAGGCTGTCACACGGACGTACAGACAAGGTCCTCCTGCCCATTTTTCAGGTGGACCCGATCGGAACCTTCAGTGCTCTTTGAGGCTTTCACATAGACGTTCCGAACAGGTCCTCCTGCCCGTTTTTCAGGTGGAACCGATCGAAATCTCAATGTTCTTTTTGACTTTCACACGGACGTTCCGACCAGGTCCTCATGCCCGTTTTTCAGGTGGACCCGATCGGAACCTTCAGTGCTCTTTGAGGCTTTCACACGGATGTTCCGACCAGGTCCTCCTGCCCAGGTTTTTCTTCAGGTGGACACCCGTTCGGAACCTTCAGTGCTCTTTGAGGTTTTCACATGGACGTTCCGACCAGGTCCTCCTGCCCGTTTTTCAGGTGGACCCGATCGGAACCTTCAGTGCTCTTTGAGGCTTTCACACGGACGTTCCGACCAGGTCCTCCTGCCCGTTTTGCAGGTGGACCAGATCAGAATCTTCAGTTCTCATTGAGGCTTACACACACACGGACGTACCGACAAGGTCCTCCTGCCCGTTTTTCAGGTGGACCCGTTCGGAACCTTCAGTGCTCTTTGAGGCTTTCACATAGATCTTTCCGACCAGGTCCTCCTGCCCGTTTTTCAGGTGGACCCGATTGTAATCTTCAATGTTCTTTTTGGCTTTCACACGGACATTCCGACTAGTCCTCCTGCCTGTTTTTCAGGTGGACCTGATCGGAATCTTCAGTGCTCTTTGAGGCTTTCACACGGACATTCCGACCAGTCCTCCTGCCTGTTTTTCAGGTGGAACCCGATTGTAATCTTCAATGTTCTTTTTGGCTTTCACACGAGGACATTCCGACTAGTCCGACCAGGTCCTCCTGCCTGTTTTTCAGGTGGACCCGATCGGAACCTTCAGTGCTCTTTGAGGCTTTCACACAGACGTTCCGTCCAGGTCCTCCTGCCCGTTTTTCAAATGGACCCATTCGGAACCTCTATCCTCCTCTATGAAGCAGCGAGTGTACATACAGTTGTTACATAGTTAGTCTGGCTGAAAAAAGACAAAAGTCCATCCAATTCAACCATATAAAAAAAAAAAAAAGTTATAATCCTACACCCACAGTGGATCCAGAGGAAGGCAAAAAAACCAGCAAAGCACGATGCCAATTTGCTCCCGCAGGGAAAAAATTCCTTCCTGATCCCCCGAGAGGCAATCGGATATTCCCTGGGTCAACTTACTTGTAAAATGGACATGTTTCTGGCAAAAAGAGGTGGATGGGGATTCATTCTCCATTCCGTCTGTTGGATTGGATGGAATGGCAGTTGGATGGACACGGACAGGCGGTCCACCCAACCGCCCATAGAATACAGCGGGCTGTGTCCGTGTCCACTCTGCAGCAGCGGAGCGGACACAGACCTGTCATCTGTTTGCTCAGTGGGGATCAGCAGAGAGATCCCCCACTATGGAATCGGATCTGCTGGCCGCCTCAAGGGAAAGGGGCCTTTCATGGGTATAGGAACTGAAATCCCTTTGTTCTTCAGTACATCCTCACCTCACAGTTGCTGTGACTTGCACGGTCTATACCCAAGTCCTGAGGAGATGGGAAACCCCTCCCTCAACTAACAGAGTAGGACAATCCTTCTTCAGGTACTCTTTTAGCTGCCTGGGTGACGAGGGCACTTTCTATTGGCTGTCCAGCAGAGAGGTCCTCACAGGCTCCAGAGGCCACCATGCTAAGTCCTGAGAAAATGGGAGTCTCAATACCTTTCCTCCATATTTAGTGCATTAGTGAAGGAGTGCATAAATATTCCCAGATCAGAAAAAATTTAAAATACGACTTTAAACATTCAGAACTATCACTTTGAAGGTCTTCTCCATTATATCACCAGAATATGGCCTCAGGTACTGCAGCTTCTCCTTCATCCTATGATGCAAAGCTCAGCTTCTAGTCTTCAAAGCTGTGCTCCAATAAGGAGACTCCCCCTCCATCAACTCTCAGAGTGGGATGATCCTGGGTGCTGCCTGGGTTTCTATTGGTTTGTAGGCCTACAAGGGAAATGTTCTATGGTAGCAAGCAAGTTCAGTCTGCCTAGATTAGGAAAGGGTTAAGTTCTGGATCACCGGTTTCCCTGGCTTTTTGGGTCTTGCCTTCCTTTCCAGTCTATATATAGATAGGAGGAAGACCGGGCTCAGAGGGAACTTCTGTACAGGACCGCATGGGAGCTGGAGTGTCCATGTCATCGGGAAGGATGTAGCCTTCATCTACCACCACAAAGGATTCACCAGCAATGGACACTTCCAATTATGGACTTACACCTTTACAGGTATGCCCGGGCAGCCACTGAATAGTTAGGTGTCAGACTGTGTTGCCAATACTTTTGGCACTATAGTGTACTTACCTAGTCATCTCTCAATCCATCACTATGCCTGTGTGCAGCAGCACTGCATTCTCTTCCTCCCCTCACAGGACTTAATGACAGCAGCTGGAGCCATTCGCTCCGACTGCTGTCAATCAAATCAAAAGTGGAGGAGTCAGGGCGGGGCTAAGACGCACTATGTGTGTCTTTAGTCACACACAGCCCTGCTCCAGAGCAAGTCCGCACGTGTGCCCCATAGGAAGTGGCTTCCTATGGTGGTGTACCAAAAAGAGGAGGAGCCTACAGCACCGGTGGGGACACCAAAAGAAGAGGAGGAGGATCTGGGGCGTTCTGTGCAATACCATTAAAGAGTATTTTAATATTTTAGAAAAAAATAGCAAATTAAATTTTACACTTCACACCAAGCATGCAGCCTGCCCAGGAAAGGAGGGTGACACATGTGTGCCCCCCCCGGACTATACCAGGCCACATGCTTTCAATATGGGGGGGGGACCCCCCTGATAAAGCACCTAGTCCCTATGCTGATGAGGACAAGGGCCTCTTTCCGACAAGCCTGTCCTGGTGGTTTTGGGGGTCTGCAGGTGGGGGCTTATTGGAATCTGGAAGCCCCCTTTAAAAGTAAGGGGATACCTAGATGACTGCCTCTACTTATTTACAAAAATGTAAAATGAAAACATAGACATGGGGTTTTTGACATGTCCTGTACTAAAAAAAAAACCAAAAACCCCCCACTGTGTACATCCACCACCAATCACGTCATCCAGTGATGTACATCCCTGCCAATCACAATGCCCAATGCTTGCCGACCCAC